AACAAAGGAAGAGAATTGCAGAATATCTGCTAGCAGAGTACCTCAGGGTGCTACAAAGAGCCCCTCCCTGCTGTGCTTGAGTCAATTGAAGTTTTGCCATTGACTTCTATGGAGCAAGATTGGGCCTGTGTCGTGCGGTTCTCCCCTCCCTATACTCTATGGCTACGTCTACACTGGCAGGATTTTCTGCAAATGCTTTTAACGGAAAAGTTTTTCCGTTAAAAGCATTTGCAGAAAAGAGCGTCTAGATTGGCACGGACGCTTTTGCGCAAAAGCACATTTGCGGAAAAGCGTCCGTGCCAATCTAGACACGGTTTTGCGCAAGAAAGCCCCGATCACCATTTTCGCCATTGGGGCTTTTTTGCGCAAAACACTTTTTAGCTGTCTACACTGGCCCCTTGCGCAAATACATTTGCGTAAAAGGGCTTTTTCCCCCGAACGGGAGCAGCACAGTATTTGCACAAGAACACTGACAATCTTACATGAGATCGTCAGTGTTCTTGCACAAATTCAAGCAGCCAGTGTAGACAGCTGGCAAGTTTTTCCGCAAAAGCAGATGCCTATGAGAATAACAGAACATTGTCTGGCCCTGGCAAATTAAAGAGCTGGTGCCAGGGGAGCTAACCCACAAAGCAGCCCCTCTGTGGCCGTTATTGACCACAAGAGCAAATGCTGCAGATCTTCTACTGAGGTCGGGAGTCACTGCGTTTCCTCAAGCTCTAGCCTCTTCCTAGCGGCTCCTTTAGGGACCACATAGCCGTAAGCGTTTCCTCCACTGCGTCAGGGCACAAGGAGTCTTGTATAAGCCCTCTGCCCCTTGCTGAATTTCAACCTCAACGGTTTAGAACCACAGTGCCTGGAGACACTAGGCACAATAAGTCCAAATTCATAGTTTCCATGGCTAGATGGCATGACCTCTGGTATAACACAGGTCATACGAATTCCCTGAACAAATCCTGGTTTGAACACGAGCATGCCTTTTAGAACGCCCACTCCTGATTTAAAATTTTCCAGTGACAGAAGCTTCCTGTCTGTCACATCCCCACATGCTGCTCAAAGCAGTCAGCTGCGGGGGCCATGTGCTCTCTGTGCACCATGAGCCCCAGGAGAGAGGGGGTGCTGCCTCCACTCTCTGCACAATCTCACAGCTCCTAGGGGCTGGAAACCATAAGAACAGCCATACAGGGTCAGACCAAAGGTCCATTCAGCCCAGTATCCTGTCTGCCGACAGTGGCCAATGCCAGATGCTCCAGAGGGAGTGAACAGAACAGGGAATCTTCAAGCAACCCCTCTCCCATCACCCATACCCAGCTTCTGACAGGCTAGGGGCACCATTCTTACCCGGCCTGGCTAATAGCCACTGATGAACCTAACCTCCATGAATTTATCTAGCTTCTTTCTTGAACCCTGCTCAAGTCCTGGCCCATGGGAGCTGCATGGGACATGCTTGTGGCACAGGCAGAGCCTGGAGGGCCCCCCAAAGGGCATGCTGCACGCAGAGAGCACATGGCTCCAACCACCAGCCACTTTGAGTGGCGTGCGGGGGCTCAGCAGGCAGGGATCCTGTCTGAGGATCCTGCTGGTCTGCTGACTGGAAGCTACCTAAGCGCTTCCCGGCCAGAACTTTCTCCTGGTATCCCACCCCCCTCCCACAGCCTAACTCCCTGTCCCAGGTCACAAACCAAACCTGCACCTGTGTCCCTGGTCACATTCCCCATCCAAACCCTGCACCTCTTTCAACCCTCCTCCAGGTCAGAATCCTCTCCTGCACCCCCTCCCAGACACTGTACCCCAAACCTTTGCCTAAGGTTACAGCCCCCTCCTTCACCCAAACTTCCTCCCAGAACCTGCACCCCTCCTTCATGTTAGAACCTGCTCCTGCACCAATACCTCCTCACATGATCCTGCATCCCAAAAAGGCATGATCCTGCATCCCAATCCCCTGCCTCAAGTCACAACCCCCCTTCACCCAAACTCCTTTTTGGATTCCCTCTCCTGCACCCCAATCGTCTACCAAGCTCCTTTCTGCAAACAACCTCCATCCCAGACCCATACCTCCTCCATTAACATTATGGAAGAGTGAAGCCCTTGATCACTTACACAATTCTTGGAGTGGTCCAACATCAAAAATTATTACCCATATCCAAGTTAGCTAGTTTTTAGTTCATTTATTGTGTGCTGTACTGACTATCATTCTAGTTTCCTAAGCAAAATGGCATGCAGTCAAGTTTATTACAGCAACATTATCTTTATTAAACAATCTTATGCAATCAAAACAAAGTTAATTCCATTATGTCAGGCCGATTGGTCTATAATTACCCATGTTGTCTCATTTGCTGTTTAAAAATATCGGCATAACATTAGCTGTTTTCCTCACCTTTGGAACTTCCCCTGAGTTCCAAAGCTTACTGAAAATCAACATTAAAACTCCTTGGCCAGCTCTTTAAAAACTCTTGGACGTAAGTTATCAGAATGTGCTGATTTAAAAATGTCTTGATTTAGCAGCTGTATCTGTGGGAAAACTGCAAATATGGAATTACACCAGGGCCTTCCACTGAGAAAGCCTCTTGCGCAAAAACAGCTGCTACTTATTCAAATGAAGCATGGTGATAGTCTACTCCGTGCTTCATTTGCATAAATCTTTTGCAGAAGAAGACTGCAGTACAGCTGTAGCCTTCGGGAGATGTGGAAGCAAGGTCAGGTGAACCAAAAGAAGCATAGCTTGCAAAGCAGCTCTGCTATCATAAATAAGAGAACTTCTCCTGTCACACAGAATGAATTCCTCATCCCCATGGCTGCTCCAAGATACACAGGTTTTTCCTGGAGATTCTTGGACATCTGTGAATTTCAAAGGCAATGCCGACTACGAAGGATGGGCAAAAATCCCCTTTCCCTCTACTGGGATGGTGCAGAGCAATCCCATAAATTGTAAATCAGGTCCATGGCCATGCTGATACTTTCCTACATATAAGGCTTGATCTGCTCACTACACCTCAACTTTAAAAAAAAAAATCTAACCTAATTTGAGCATGGTGCTGGTTTGAGTATACAACAGGATGTTGGGGGTGGAGGTAGGGTTCAAAACGCTAAGGAATTTATGAATACACATTTTTTCCAGCATTAAAAATAAATGTTGCATCTTCGTAAAATGGGCCATTTTAATTTCACCAGCTGTTCTTTAGATGGTTGCATAGTAGTTTTAACTGAACAGCATGACTCACATGAATTAATCTATGCTTTAGAACGTTTAACCAACCAATTAGATTACTATCTCAATCTAAGTATATTTAAATTATAGTTCAAAACTTTCTTCCTTATATATTCACTAATCTTATTTATCAAACCATGTACAGTTAAACAAGAAGTACTGTAGCGGCAGCCATGGTGCTCAGTTATTAGAGGCAACATTCTTCTCTTCTTTTGTGTTGCTCTCCAGGTTCCCACAGTTTTTTCCACCAGCCTTTCACAATTTGCTCATTTCCTGCTATCTCTCTTAAAATCCGTTTCCTGTGTTCCCGCAGATACCAATTTTCTTCTCAAAATTAGGCGTTTGCTTCTGTAAACTCAGACTTCTTTTCCTTTAAGCCCAGTTTTCTAATGAAAATGGGTTAGTGATACTTTTCAGCACATTAACAAACTCGGATAAATTTGTCGGCTTTTTTTTGGTTAATAGTCTGAAATATGTTTTTTAAACCAGATTTACATCTCTGTATCATCTTTGCCATTGTCTCCAATAATAATGCAATCTAAAGATAGATTTCCAGATTGTTTCTGTCAATGTGGTTATTGTTCACAACTTTAAAAGCACAATGCAATTCACTTGCCATTACTAAAATAATCTAATGGAACTAAAGTGTTCATAGCACTTCATACAGAATCACATACAAGTATCTTGTCAAACAAATTGGGCAGAGCAGATGTATGAAAACAAGGATAAAAAGGATGCTTTGCTATTGGACTGTCCTATTAATTTATGGTCCAATTTGATGCTGACTTCATTATAGGAGTAAAATCAGGCCCTTTATGTGGGCTTGTAAGTTTGTGTATTGATGGATTGATGGACTTGGATGTGGGCGTGGATGTTTGTGTATTGATGGACTCGTGGTGCCCACACAGAACCACACCGAAGTCACTGGCATTTGGAGATAATTCATACCAGATGACAGCATTGGATTTCTATATTGTAAATGTGAATGTAGTCACCTTACTAAAGGTGCCTCTGCTTATTCTCTGGGAAGATCTTGTGTGCTGCAATCTAGCCCCAGAGACTACAATTCCCATGAGCCCTGGAGGAAATCAGGAAGGAAGTTACTCTTTGTTTGGGTGCTGGGTCTCTCCACGTGTGTGGAGGAAGACTCAGCAATCTGTGGACTCTTCCCTCTGTTTATGGAGCAGAAAAGGAGCCGGCTGCTGTGGAGGAGTTCGATCCCGTTCAGGAGCTGTTATGTTGCAGTTACAGACTGGGACAGCGAGCCTTTGGAACTGGGGTCTAGCAGGCTCCTTCTGATTGCCCTAGAGGGGAGGCCCTTTGGCTGTACTTGTGGCTAGAAGCTACTCTGCATCCAGCACACAGGAGACTGAGAGGAACTGGGCCTCTTTGGGAAAATGCTGCCTGGGACACACCTCAGAGATACAGACTAACTCTGGGTTCAAAGAGAGGAAGAGAGACCAGTCCAGTGAACCAGAGCTGCTGCATAGCTGGGACCCACATACACGCTACCTACAGAGAAATCTCCATTACAGCTGCCTTTCTTCAAATACGCCCACACAAGCAAAAGTCTGAGACTTTGAGTCCAGAGGTGTGCACACTCTGGGGTGGGATAAATATGGGCAGTGCAAATGGCAGCTAGATACGTTCCTTTTACTTCCGTGTACTTTGTTAATTGATCTTATTCACTGTTAATTTGTTAAATCCTGTTTTTTTAAGTGAAGTAAAGGTTGTTCATTCTAATGCAATCTATTAGATGTATATTATTTATGATTTGTAATTGCTGTTCTGGAGGGATACTCAGGATCTCCTTTTATGTCAAGACCATCAGGAGCCCAGGCACACTTGTGAGTGTGACCTGCTCCCAAGTAACCCGGAAAAAGGGGGTTATATGAATGACAGCAGAAAGATGTGTGTGGGCTGGAGATGGAGGGGTAGAATCATATTTTAAAGTTCATTCTTTCAAATAGTATTGTAGCTTATAGGGCTAATCTTCAGTCTTGCCTACAGATATATACATTTATTATTTCATTATAGTTTTGATTATATGTTTATTATAAAAGCTACAGTAGATTTATATTGGCAGTTTGTCTGTAACACAAGAGAATTACAGGCCATGTCCTGTATAGTGAGCTATGGAAAAGTTAGTATTTTTGTCTGGGGCCTGTCACCCAGATAACACAATTAGCTCACATAAGTTTGGGGCCTTTCATCAGATAGATGGTGGTAAGACAGAGTGATTTTACATTGTATAGGCGCTTCCAAATACACTCAAACTTAGCAGGTATATCATTACTTAGAAAAAGCCAAAATAACCGGTTGAGACCAGACTGAGTAACCAAGTAGGACAGAAATAATAAACGTGCTAGACAACCACAAAAGGTCCATGGTAACAAACTCATGCATATGATAATATGTTGAGATCAGTGACATACATTGGAAAAAGACGCTTCACCATTAGGAAGGGGAGGAAACACAAATAGGGAGAAAAGGAAACACTGCCTACCGAGTATGCAACAAACATAACGTCAGCCTAAAATATGTTAAAAGTGGCATCCCAGCCTAGGGGCGGTGGGAGGAGATGCAGTCCTTTGGAGCTACCAAAATGAAGGCCACTGGTGATGACGGGGAAGGTGCAGGTGATGAGGAAGAAGATGGCTAACACTTCAGGTTGCTCTAGAAGGAATGATGTGCGTATACGGTATGGAAATATAGACATACATTCCTTATTTATTTCATGAAATTGGGGTGTTTGTGACTGTGCTAAATGTATTAATAAACTATATTTGCAAATATACAAGATTTCCTATAGTGTAAGTGTTGCATCTGTGCACGTCAGAGTTCCCAGCCATAGAAAATTAAATACTGGGCCTGATCCTGGGACAAAGGACCTGTCACTCCTAAAGGTGGTAACTGGAAATTCACAAGCTATCTTAGACAAGGCAACAGTATCTCAGACTAAAAAATTTAAAGCAAACAAGATAAAATAAAATTATAATTGAATTAACTTGATATGTTTCTCCCCCTCCCCCCCGATCAGGAACTTAAATTAAAATATATTCCTTAAAAATACTGCTCTTTTATTAACAATATATTAACATCACTCTTGTTAGCTGTCTTTTCAAATACAAAAATTCTTCACAAGGAAATTAGAAAAATAATGTTCTATACACTATAGGTGCTGGGGCTTTGGAATTCCAGATGTAGTAATCTGAGGAAATCAATTCCCGGGCTAAAAAAGACAGACAAAATAAACGTTAAAGGGTGTCTTGTATTAATAAATTACTTTATTCAATTTAAGAGAATATAGATCCATTTTTACTAATTGACAGAAACCGTCTCTCTAAACCAGGGCTACTCAACACGTGGCCTGTGTGTTTGTGGCCTGTGGTGCAGTTTGGGTTTACTTGGGGCTCAACACACGGCCAGGAACCAAACAAAAAAAGTAGTCAATATAACAGTCATCTGTTGATATGCGTTTTAGTAGTTAAATTCCTGGACTGTCATTGCTTATTAAAAGTACTGTCATATGGGTAGAAATTGGATAAATATTGCATTTTAATTAATATCAGCAGAACTGACTTAAATGGGGCCTGTGTGCTGTGTGATCTTGCCTTAATTTTTATATTCATGCTCGTCACTGTGAAAGAAGCTATTTGCATATTTATGTGTATGTACAGTATATACAATTACACTTAAGTTGCGGTCCTCGGCACGTGCTGTATCATTGTGGCCCCTGGAGCTTCCAAAGTTGAGTAGCCCTGCTTTAAACTGTAATGCCCAATTTATTACAGGTTGGACCTCCTTGGTCCAGCCCCCTCAGGACCTGAATGGTCTTGGATGAGTGATTTTGCTGGACCAGAGGAGGTCACTTCTGGCCCCCCTGCTGCTGGCCCCACCGGGCTTCCTGGCTTCCTAGGCAGCCCAACAGGATTGAATGCCTGGATTCTGTCCCCTCCCCCTGGTCACTCCCAATCTAGGCTTCCTGCCTCCCCCTCCACCTCCTGCAGCGCACCAGGACACACTGATCCTGGAACATCCGTTGTCCGGCATTGCTAGACCAGACAGTCCCAGTTTATAGAGGTGAAGATTGCATTTAAAAATTGTTTCTGATGAGAAGACATTTAAAATCTCAGTTTCAATTACCTCTAATAATACATTGATCACAAGCTTATAATTCACATTATGGGTATGTCTACACTTGCACCCTCTTTTGAGAGAGGGATGCAAATGAAGACATTTGAAATTGCAAATTTAAATATCTCGAGCTTCATTTACATATTCACATTATGGCACTATTTTGGAATAACAGATGCTGTCTTAACATCGTCTATTATTTTGAAATAGTGCGGGTCTTTCGCATGAGTGGTGTGGGGCTGGCAAGTGGATTTCGCTGTGGTTTGTCGAGCCCTGCCCTTAGAGATTAAGTCAAATGCAGGTGTATGGTTTGGCTTTTGTTTAGTGAATACTAGGGGACTGTGCCTCCTGCTCACTATGCTCGACAACTCCCCTCCCATCCTGGCCGCTATGCTCACCAAACCACCCCTGCCGGCCACTATTCCCTACCCCCAGGCTGCTCCTGCACCCTCTCCCGTGGTGCCATATCCTACCCCCAACCTGAACTTGCACCCTCGCATCTGGCCTGACACCCTACCCCCAACCCACTCCTGCACCCCAATCCCTCTCCCACTCACTGCCAGAGATGGGAGGGAGGGCACGCACAGGAGGGGGCAGGGAGGATGCCGCACTGGTCCTGCCTCCCCAAAACACTGGGGAGGGAAGAGTCCATGCAGCTGAGGACGGAGGCAGGTGGTGACGGCGGCATGAGAATGCAGATGACATGATGTCACTCTGTGGTCCTGCAGGAAATTTGTTTTATATATAGAGAGAGATAAACTCTATATATTATTAATTATAAATATATATGGTATGACAATTAACTGCTGTGATGAATGGTTTGGCAATGGCATCATTAGAGTTCTCACAAACAATTTTGGGGCTTTTGCTGAAATAACTGAAAGAAGTTACAAAATAAAGAAGCAGCAATAAAATAGTGTCTCTATTAGCCATTCCTGCCTGCTCATATCTAATGAGTGTTTAGTATTTATGAAGACTCTAATAGGGATATAAAATCCTATTTAATTAGTTAACCAGTAAGAAGTTAAGTTTAACCGATTAATTGATTAAATGGGAGAGGGTGTGTGGGAAGGTATTCCAGCTTGCTAGAAAGAGGTGGAGGGCGCTCCAGCCTGCTGGACTAGAGTGGGCCCCATCCTGGGATGGAGCAGCTCCCACACTGTGGACAGGGGCTGCTCCAGCCGAGCTGCTTCCAGCCCCAGGCTGGGAGTCAGCAGCCATGCGTGAGGCCATAAGCGGCAGCTGGGCGCCCACCCTATATGAGCTGAAAATCAGCAGTTCTCTTGCTCCTGGGTAACTGGTTACCTGTTCGCATCCCTAGACTCAAACACATCAGAAGAATGGCCCACTGTTAGGACACAGACTGTGAGACAGCAGAGGTGGGTTCAATTTCTTTCACTGTCACAGAATTCTTGTGTGATTCCAGACGGGTACTCAGGCTTTCTGTGCCTCAGTTTCCCATTTGTTAATTGGGGAATGAAAGCACTTTCCTACCACACAGGGATGTAGAGAGGGATAAATATATTAAAGATTAACGACTGAGGCACTCTCATACTCTGGAAATGGGGGCCATATAAATATCTAAAAGGCAGAGATTACCCACTTATACTCTGTGCATATTGTTCCTCCTCTACAAGCCTTTTTTATCCCCCCAATCAGGTACATCTTATAGGGGAGTCTTAAAACGGACATAATTTTTAGGTTGGAGCAGAAACACAATAGTTATTCTACATGGAGTTCATAATTCAGGTTTGAGAAATAATTTTTTTTGAGAAATAAATGTTTTTTGCTTTAGTGACATTTACATTGAAATTCACAAACACTTAAAATCATATTTGATAAAATCAACAAAAATAATCTAATTTTAAAACTCAACCAGTTAATGTAGTTCACAACTCCACTTGACAGATTTAACTAAATGACCAATAATTTTGAACAACTTACATGTACTTATTTTTGGCTTTCCTGAGGAAAAGACCTGAACAGAATGCTGGTCTGCATAACATCCAGTAAGTGTATAGTCTGGGATCCTAAAATAAAGCTACAGAAATATGGAGAAAACATGATCAGATACATACTTTTATGCATACTTCTACATTACTTCAGAAATGCTGGTAATCTAGATTATGCCACTCTTGGTGTGCAAAGATATAAAAATGATAGAAAGCAGTATTCTAGAGAAAAAAATAGAAAACTGAACAGAGGACAAAGTCTTTCATTGTGTGTGATGCAAACCAATGCAGTTTCATAGCCAGTTTTAGTTGTTAAAAAATGATTACTAATTCTCATACTACTCACTTTTACATATGCAGTGCTCCCAGTACAAATTGGATCAACTGGTTGCTCTTTGCTCATAGAACCAAAAGTCACACTTCCAGTAAGAGAAATTTCTAATGATTTTGGAAACTTTTGTCCTAAAAACAAAAGCAACCGTATTAAAAAATTAGATAAACAAATGTACACAAAAGTGACTCAAAAAAAAAGATTTTTTAATTCAGTTTACCTATGACCCAAACCAATAAGCTTTTCTCTCGAGATACATCTAGCTGGCCATAACTAACTTTGTACTCCAAGTGAGTGACTGGTCCCCTATCGTAGAAAACAGAGTAAAACGTCATTGAAATGAACAGCAGACAACTATTTACTGACATGTATTTTACTGATAAAGCAACGAATATATTCAAACTAATGCCACTATTTATTTGTACAAAGATAAATCATGTAAAACTGAACATACTGCTATCTTGGTGAAAGAAATTATAACTAAGGGGGATAATTACAGTTTCAATGCATTAACTGCAGTAGAACTTTTGGTGATTTTATTATGTATATTTCATTGGCAGAATTTCCGACTGCTAGGACTAATGTCAGCAGCTTTGTATCATTTTAATGTTATAATTTAATGATTATGATATGACAATATACTCATAGTAATTGTCAGATAGGCTTAATAAAACTGCAGTTTTTATTTTAAATAACTATATTTTTGGCTAAGATCAAGTGTAGTATATATTTTTATAAGTTGATCTATAACTATGATAAGAAGTTTTTTGCTTCCAAACCAGGATCTCAACTGTATTCTCAAGACTTATTTCACCAGGTGGGTGGTGGCCAAATTTGGTGCTAGAAGAAAATGTGATATTCAATAAAAGTTATCCATTATCCTTTTAGAGTAGTAGCATAAATGTGGTTGGGAGGAAACATGTCTTGACTGTTAGCACCATTCAAAAGAGAGTGCCTCTAGAATCAGGATCCAGGTGAATATCTTTAGTTTCTCATTTGAGTTTGAATGCATTTTAGGTAATTTCTTGACTCTCAATGACAGCAGCCTTGAGCATATGGTCTAAGGGAAACAAAACCTGATAAGTTGATTCATGAGATCCCAATTCTAAGGAGACTATTAGAGAGGCGAAGAAAATTATTTCGGTTTTTTTTTATTCCTACCTGTTAAAGAAAGGTATACGAGCTTCACAGTACTCAAAAGCATTTTTTACACTTTCATGAAGTTTTAAATTAAGTGTTAATTTTAATTGCAATTCTTCTTCTTTCAATTGGTAAAATCCCAAAATTGGTGGTACAGGCACCTGAGGAGAATAGATTCATTTTAGAAATAATTCAGGAAGAAGTTTATTATTAAAGAGTTTATAAGTAACTTAAAATATATAATTCTCAACATAAATCAATTAACCTGTAAGCCAGGCTCTTCAGGTAACATATGCTACGTAGATTTGTGATCTGCTAGGAACAGTTCTTGACATCTTATCAGAGTAAAGTTTGCTAATCCCTGAGGAAGTTCACTTAAACCTTCTCCAAAATATAGATTTTTTCCTCCCACCTCTAAACCCACTTGGAAGACGGGCAAGTTATACAGATCAGGGAATGTTTTTACCTGGGAAGTATAGTAGCACAAATTGAATAAGTCAGGTGGAGGAGTAAAAGGAAGTTTGTACGGCCCACTAAATGCAGAATCATCCATGACATCAACACTACAGGAAGTAAGAACTGCAGAGTCAAGGGAAGTCACACAGGGATGCACCAGGATATCCTGGAGTGGAGAGCCATTGGCAGGGAGGTTCAAGCTGACAGTTACATTTGATGCAGCTCCTTCTAAATCACACTTGGAACACAAAAAGTCAGGAAATTACTCAATAGTATTTCTAAATTCAGAATTAGACATTTGAAAATAAAACAAAAAATAAACAATCCCACTAAAGAATATATATGGACAGATATACTTTCAAGCTCATGTCATTTCCTAGTTTTTAACTTTTTGGCATTCTAAAGAGTATGAACATAGAATCTTTTATAGAACAGCCTTTTAATTCATAAGCACTCCATGTCAAAAGAGTATAATGCAAATGAGCCAAGCACATGCAGTAACAGATACATTGTTAAGAATTTGATAGACATATTGAGTAATTGTCTGTCCAAATAATTAAGTTATTCAGACTTCAGCTGTTTAATAGATTCAAACATGCTATTAATGTCCACTGAGATACTATGTCAGCTTTCTCACAGTGACGGCCTGTAATGCTATCCACTGTCTAGTCACTTGGTGCACCAGCTCAGCCGTGAGTAATTACGCCAATACTTTCTCTTTCTGGCCAGTCATCTACTCTGCAAAGTGACCCAGAAACCTGCCCCACTGAGAGCAAGAAGCTCTCCACCAAGATAATCCCCATCAGCACCACTGGTGGGAAATAACTCAGAGTCTTTAAGAGCAGTAGATTTTGGTCAACTTCCCTGTGATATGAGCATGCTGCCACTTATTACTAATAATTAAATCACCGTGATGCACTTCATCAGAATTTCTTTTCTCCTTATCACACAATAGCAGCTAAAAAAAGTGATTAGGTGTCACACATTTCTCCAGCAAAATGTATACAGAGAAACTCTGAAAAATCTAATACAGCTACAGGATTCACTATTAAAGATACAAACATTAGCATGTTTCATGAAAATATTATTGATCTACTTAACCAATATGCTTCCCAGTTTTTACAAGTAAAAATAAACAGTAACACACACACACACACAAGCTATTTAAAACAATCATAAAACTGTTTTCTTTCACAATCTGTGGCCTTAGATTTAGCAACATTACGAATTATGGATGTATGATTTTGTTTTAATACAAGAAAGCAAGATATAAAATTAAACTTCCATTTACTAGAAACCCACTAAGCAATTTTTGAAGTGCTAATGCAAAGACACATGTAACATTCTCATTTAAGAATTTTATTTTTATTGATCATTACTAAACTTGACATTTATTAGATGGCTGGGTTAAACTTGGCACTATAATTGTCATTTCTCATTAAAATAATTCCCTCTTAAAATAAGGGATAAGGAATCTTTCGGAAAAGGCTTTATTTTCCGAAAGATCTGCGTCTAGACTGGCGCTTTTTTCTGGCAAAGCTCTGAGCCGAAAAAAAGCGGCAGCCATTTTTATGTTAATGAAGCGGGGGAGATTGAAGTCCCTGCTTCATTAGCAATTGCGATACATCTAATTTGCATCCCTTTTACGAAAAAGGGATGCAGTCTAGACGTAGCCAGTGAGTTTATGTTCTACACAGGTAAGATTTGTATTAGAAATATCCTCACCTTGCAAGTCACAGTTCCATAAACCTGCCACATATCTGCAACATCCCTCTTGTCATATTGCATGGACTTGACTTTTTCAGTGATACAAACATTAACTTGAGGTTTGCCTTTGTATGCGCTAATTCTCCAAACTGGTTGTTTCTGTGTGTGGTTTACAGAAACATTAATATTATCTATTAAGCCAGTCAAATTTGTATCTAATGGGGTGCCAAGAGGACAGGCCTGCATTAGCAAACTTGGAAGGTGACCCACTTTTGCATTCATCTCAGCTTTGTTCTTCTGACTGCAGTTAATGAAGACCAGCAATCCTGACAAGAGCGCGAAGGCTTGTGAGATTCCACTAATGCTAATGAGAGGTGGGCGTGGCTTCAAGGATTGTTCAACAAGGGGAAGACAAACATATATCAAACCACTCTTCTGAAAGGCAAGAACAGGCCAGAGGTCCCCTCCTCCTGTTGGAAGTGCATACACTGATGTCTTGTTGATTCGAGAACAGCTATCTCGATATTCCACAAAGTTCTTGTCTGGATCTGTCAGCTTAAGTTCAAAAAGCAATGCTTTAAGAAAAGCACTGTCCTCTGGTATATTTACATAGCTTTCTCCATTGAAGGCTTTTGCTCGTTTTTCAACAGTGGGGTAACGCCTGTAGTACACAAGCAAAAATTCATTAGGAGTATTCATCTTATCCTGCCCATAATACAAAACACACACATTTCCTAGTATTTATAGTCTGAGCTATACTTTGCCCCTTCTAATTATCCAAATGCAGAAATTCCATTACTGCTTTGAGAGAGAGTATTATAAAAGAACTAAGGAAGATGGACCTAGTCAGGTTGAGTTCAGTTAAATATAAAAGTGCACAAAACTTTTGAAGGCCCCCATCCTACAAATCATGCTGGGCTCTTGGACCTCTACGGCACACCAGTGAAGCATCTGGGTGAGAGGGTTTTCCCACCTCGAGCAGCTTACAAATAAGAGCAGGGCTACTCAACATGTGGCCTGCTGGCCACATACGGCCCACAGCCCGTTTGGGTTCATGCGGGGCTCAACACACGGCCTGTGGGTGGGATCCTTTGCACATGGCCTCCACTGGGAACACACTCCACAACGGTGAGGCATCTCCCAGGCGGGGTAAGCAATGAAAGATGCAAGTGGACGGGTTGGGCTTGAACAGAGGGGTACAGAGTGTCAGCATTTCTAGCTCTCAGGCAGGAGGTGCAGGGAGCGCCAGGGCATTGTGGGAAGCGCTTTGTATCCCTGAATTACAGCCTAAGTCGCTGCTAATAATATAATATTTTTTAGCAACAAGTGGATGTTTACTGGAAAGTTTAGCAAAAGCATTCACCCATTTTTGAAGGAAGATGTGTATCTTTTCTGCTATATAAAGATGCAGACTGTTTAAATAAAACAAGCATAAAAAACACCTGTGCAGCAGAAACTTTAAAAGTTGAAACTTTCCAGGAAGATAGATATCACCTGAGTTTTATTTCCCGGCTTTTCACTTAGAGTGAACATCTGTCCCATTTTTAAGGGGACAGTCCCTTATTTAAGCCCTCTTGTGGGTGTCCTGCCTTAAAAAACAAAACAGGCAAATTGTCCAGTATTTTCGTTCCCTCCGCTAGTCAGTCAGGGGTCAGTGCACCTGCCTCCTGTTTGTGGCTGGCAGGTGAATGAGGGCAGGCAGTGGCCAGCAGGTGGTGCTCTGGAAGGGTATAGTGGCAGAAAGACAGGAAGCCAGTAGGAGAGGCAGCCTGTGTGTGACAGAGGTGTAAGGTTGTGTGGGGGTGAGAAAGGGGTGTGTCACCTCTCCCCATATGCACTCTAAAGTGGGGAGGGGCAATCTTCCAGCCCTTTCAGGCTGAAGCCCTGATCCCCAGCTCCTGCAGTAGGGCTGAAATCTTGATCCCTGGCAGCCTCTCCCTCAAGGATAGGAGCCCCGAACCCTGGCACTGCATGTGGTGCTGAAACCCTATCATCCAACAGGTGACACATAGAAGTGGCAAGAGGTGGTGCATGCCCTCCCTCCAACACCATGGGCAGGAGGATCAAGGGGCCAGCCAGCAGCCCCAGAGTCCCTGGACATTTGAGGGTCTGGCAAGTAGTGCGGGGACTGGCACCAGTAGCAGGGGTCTGGCTGTGTGGAAGGAAGCAGAGTGACATGGGCAAGGGAGTTGACTGAGCTGGGGTAACTGCTGCTGGTAGGTGTGGGAAGCCATGATGCTTGCTGCTAGTACTGGACTCCCTGCCCCTCTAGTTCCCCAGGCAGCATCAGTTGGGGAAAGAGGTGGGGCAGGTGCAGAGCAAAGGCAGCTAAGAGGTGAGGCATGAGGCAGAAGGCAGTTGTTGCAGCCCTTCCCCAGGCTGGGTGGGAGGTCATGTGGCTGGTGACCCCCCCCCCCGTCACCCCACACCAGTTGAACCTGACTACTTACACCTGAGCTCCCCGCTTAGCCCAGACTCCCACGGCCTCCTTTCTCCCAGCGGGTATGGGAGTTTTTATAGTGTGTTTGCGGGAGGGGGGGGAGGAGAGAAGCCTACCACAACGTTTTAATTAACTGCCATTGAATGCCCTTGAATTTGAGCAATTTTACCAGTATCCCATATTCACCATAGGAAAATATGGTCACCTTACCCATGGATCTCTATGTTTACTCTCTTACCATGTGTCCTGCTTGTTTGTTTCTATTGTAAGGTTTCCAGGGCAGGGGCTGTTTCTTACTATGTGTTTTTATAATATAGCCCCAATCTTGTCTGAAACTTCTAAGAACTACTCTAATATATGTAAGAGGAATATGTAGGGTGGAGCAGTCTTCATCCAAGCTGCGGTTGATTCTACTTTATTTTTGCCTTGTTTTGGATTATCTCTTGATTGTATTGAATTGAGTATAAGATTGCAGCCCTCCACTTCCATTCATTCTTCAGGCCCACAATTTTTTCCCTCCAATATGGATAAGGTTCCTTTCTTTCATTCTGTGGAGAACAACAATCCTCTAGAATCATACCGATTAGTCTAAAAAAAGAGACTTCCCAGGAAAACACGACTGACTTTTCTAGTCAGAAGCCCTTGCACTCTGTGCTTTCTGATAATAAAATATTAAGAGTCCTAAAAGAATAAAATCTACCCAGAAAATGCCTTTTGGTTTCCAAAGAACTCTCTCTATATGAAGTTTACAATCAACATGGACAAAAGTCACACTTCCGTTTGAAAATACTTTACGTACTCTACGGTTACAAATAGAATGAAGAGCATCAAAACTAAAAAGTTATCAAAATTATTTCTACATTTTCACTTTGTTTTTAGATCATTTAACTGGATTTTGTAGAGTCACCTTCATTGTTTTTGTGTGTGCCATCAGATGCTGTAGCTATTTCTTCTATTAAAGACCCTCATTAACATCAGAAGAAAAAAAAATCCACCACCACAACTAACATTTTTAAAAAAGGAATTTAAATACTATGATTCTTTTTACTCCTCTATCACAAATTGTAAATTCTTAAAATTAATTTCTAAAATTTCAGAGAGACACCATCAACTTGAAAAAGCGACGAGGAGTCCTGTGGCACCTTATAGACTAACTGAAGTGTAGGAGCAGAAGCTTTCGTGGGCAAAGACCCACTTCGTCAGATGCATGACTCATGCATCTGACGAAGTGGGTCTTTGCCCACGAAAGCTTATGCTCCTATACTTCAGTTAGTCTATAAGGTGCCACAGGACTCCTCGTCGCTTTTGCAGATTCAGACTAACACGGCTACCCCTCTGATACCATCAACTTGAAGTACACTATGAATTAAAATTAGGATTTAATTGAATCATGCAGTTTAAATTCCAAATATGTCTTCAAAATACAAACTTTTGATATTGTCTTGTAAGAGTTACTATTCAAAAATAAAGCAAATACAATAAAATTATGACAAAACAATAAGTAAGCAATCACAGCCCAGCAGTATTGAATATTTTTTTTAAACTAGAAATTCCAAAATCTTACTGATATTACTGTATCCAATCACATCGTTATTATTTCCACACAGACCACTGACACATCTAGATATTCACTTTTTAGCCCTGTCCTAATACTTAACATACTATGACATTTGATCAAATAAGTTATTTAATGCTTTGAATATTCTTCTGCAAATAATATTAGTTTTTTAATCATGCAAAATGTCCAACATTCAGATCAGTTTCTCACCCTATTGTATGAATAATGAGTAATGTTATGCATGCATACTGAATTACCAAGCTTCAGGTTAAGGATGGAGTGGAAGTCTCAGTTTAGCACTTGATTGTTTTTGTCTGTTAAAAATCAGCCTAGCATTTGAACAGCTAGTGCCCGCTTTTTCCACAAAGGTAAATAGATTTTTTTAAATAAATTCTTCTCTCTGTTTTCAGTAGCATATGATATTTTAAAAAAATATTTGATTTTTTTATAAGCTATGGCCCCAGCTTTTTAAAAAAAATAATTTATGGCCCTGCAACAAGTACTGCATGGGCCTACGGATGCACCAGCACGGAACTCCAGTAAAATGAGCAAGGCTGTGTGAAGGCACAAGGATTCGGCCTGTACATAACTAACTTGTATGTACCTCAATGAGACCTCAATGACCTTTCAACATTTCTTGCTTCAAGTTAGGAAGGACTTTCAGGGCAGTCCATGTGTTTTACAGTTACTTCTAAAGGATGGAGGATTTGGCTGTGTATTTCAATGGGCTTGTCTTCACTAGAATATCGTATTAGAATATAACCCTGAAGAGTCACAATAAATACAATGTTAGACAGTACTTGCAGTCACTGTAAACTGAGCCAAACCACATTTACTATTAAGCCACTGGTCATGAGCATCCCTATTAGAATAATGATCAGTACACAGGATATTAAGCTGTTTTGTCCCTGTCTATGCTGACTGCAAGTCATAGAAAAACAGAACTTGAAGAAACCTCAAGAAGTCACCAAGTTCAGTCCCCTACACTCCTGGCAGGACCAACCACCATCTAGATCATGGCTGGGGAAAATACAGCCCAGGGGCTGGATCCAGACACCCAAGCCACAAGATCCAGCCTGCAGACCATCCTGCCGTGACCCCCAGGCACTCAGCTAGTGCAGTTTAAAGCACAGTCCATGCAGCTCCCTGCCTCCAGCCCAATCCTCAGTTCCTATTGGCTGGAAACAACCAGACAATAGGAACTGAGAGATTGGACTGGAGGATGGAGGCAACACAAGCCTCTTCCTCCTTCCGGAGCGGAGAGCCAGGAGACAATTAAGTAAGCGCCTCCCAGCCAGAGCCTGCCTCTGGCACCCCTATGCCCTCATGCAGGTCACCATCCAAACCCTCTGCACCTCCTTGCCCCAGGTCATAACTCCCAGACCTTTGTACTCTCATCTACACTCCAAAGAGACACCATCAATTTGAAGTACATTATGAATTAAAATTAGGATTTAATTGGCACCATGCAGTTTAAATCCAGTAGGGTGATTCGTTTTATTTGTTTATGTTGGGTCTATCATAATCTGGGAGTAGCAACTTTAGGGTGATTCGTTTTATTTGTTTATGTTGGGTCTATCACAATCTGGGAGTAGCAACTTTAGTAAAATCACGATACCATCTACATGTTTTGTTAGTCTTTAATGTACTACTTTTATAAAGTGTTTCTAGCTACAAACGAACTCAGCTACCCCTCTGAAGCGTCAGTAAAGCACTATTCACAGTACATCACTTGGTGACCTGACTTTAAATTGTTTTGTTTTCCCAGGTCTACATGCGCCACCCTCACTCACACACTTATAAGCAGCAGACACACATATCCACAGACTCTGGCAGGTGGTATTACCTGGAGAACAGCACGGCTCCACCAGCCCCGTGTTCGTAGGCAAGGAGCCACAGTCCCCTCAAGGCCATCCCAGACAGCTAGCAGGCCAGGAGCACTGCACTTCAGATTATCACGATGGGCAGCTCCCTGAGGCGCCTGGCCGCCCAGGCCTACTGAGTGCCACTGCCAGGGGCATTATTTACCTGTCCGTGCCCGCTCACAGATCCCACTCCCCCCTCCAGTCACGATGGGCAGCTCCCTGAGGCGCCTGGCCGCCCAGGCCTACTGAGTGCCACTGCCAGGGGCATTATTTACCTGTCCGTGCCCGCTCACAGATCCCACTCCA